TATAATGCAACATTTAATTTTGGCCCACAGCCCTCAGTCGAGTTTAAATTATGGCCCTTCATAGTAAAAAGTTTAGCCAACTCTGGTTTAGACCATTTAAATTATGAAACAAATCTGATTCATATTAAGAATATTCTGGCTTCTTTGAAATTTGCATTGTCTGTTTAAAAGAGAAGAACACTAAAGAAAGTGCTGGCTCAGTAATACAGCGGTTTCTTAAAAGGGAAATAGGGAAACACTGCGGCCACAACAGAAATGTAAGTAGGCTACACATGCCACTGGAAATGGAAATAACACAAGTACAAACGGGAAACTGATGAAATAAAAGGCAGTTTGAGGAATGGCCTGGTTTCTTTGTGAGTTGGGCTAATATTTATTTTTGGTGCTGACCGACTCTGGGTTTCAAAATATTATACTTACAGTAAAGACCTTTTACATTACAGTAAATGGCCTTTTCTGCACTTTTGCTCTTGTCAGCTTGGAAATGAGCCAGTATGTGATCCATCCTTTCTATGTAAACGCCACAATCAAATAAAGAATCCTTTTATAACAATATTTCACTTTCTACCGAGCTTGCTCTCTTACATATAAAGAGCTATGGTTGAGAAAGGTCAGACCAGGTTACTAGTGGCTAAGTGTGAACTAATTTGATTGACAGGTCTTCCAAAAAATGTGGTTGTCGAAATGGTGTGAAAGAGTTTGTGACTTTACAGCCTTTAGCACTTGCTGGTATTTATTTAAAATAGATTTGTGGATCTTTCTGGACCCAACCAATGAGTCAACGTCTGGCTAGAACTACACCATCTGTCCTAAAACCCATCTTTCTCCACTGACAGCCATTACAAAATTAGCTATGTATAAAGTTAGAATGTGAATACTAATAGTATAATAATAATAATAACTCAGAACTGCTAACTAAAGGAACGTAATTCTCTAATACTCTTAATGTAATCCATGTTCGTCTCCCACACAGAGTAGCTGAAAAGTGCATTTCAAAACTGGAATTAAAAAGTGTTTTGTAATAATGACAAACAAAATATGGTTCTCAAAACTTTCAATGTCTACCAGCACATGTAGATGTTGCACAGCTCTCAGATGTGGGAAAACATGCTCAGAAAGTTTGTTCGCTTTTTTTATAAGAAACTCCTAACCTCTAGTTTGATGAGAAATGTTAATTTTCATTTCTTACTGTAACTGTCACTAATTTCCTTTTGTCTTACCGTTCGCCTGAAGAAATAAGAGAATTTTCAACAGATATTTTCAGAAGCAAAAAAAGGAAGGTGGACGGTGGAGGGAGAAAAAGGAGGCCCTGATTTGGTTTCCAATCTACAAAGGAAAGTAATCCTATCTGGCAGTCTAATGTGATTTTAATTCTCGTGTTACATCTCAAGTGTGATTTGCCCGTGTGAATGCTTATCAGACTGGCTAGAACTACACCATCTGTCCTAAAACCCATCTTTCTCCACTGACAGCCATTACAAAATTAGCTATGTATAAAGTTAGAATGTGAATACTAATAGCCAGCTATGTCCAGCTATTACAGACCTCTACTCAGAACTGCTAACTAAAGGAACGTAATTCTCTAATACTCTTAATGTAATCCATGTTCGTCTCCCACACAGAGTAGCTGAAAAGTGCATTTCAAAACAGGAATTAAAAAGTGTTTTGTAATAATGACAAACAAAATATGGTTCTCAAAACTTTCAATGTCTACCAGCACATGTAGATGTTGCACAGCTCTCAGATGTGGGAAAACATGCTCAGAAAGTTTGTTCGCTTTTTTTATAAGAAACTCCTAACCTCTAGTTTGATGAGAAATGTTAATTTTCATTTCTTACTGTAACTGTCACTAATTTCCTTTTGTCTTACCGTTCGCCTGAAGAAATAAGAGAATTTTCAACAGATATTTTCAGAAGCAAAAAAAGGAAGGTGGACGGTGGAGGGAGAAAAAGGAGGCCCTGATTTGGTTTCCAATCTACAAAGGAAAGTAATCCTATCTGGCAGTCTAATGTGATTTTAATTCTCGTGTTACATCTCAAGTGTGATTTGCCCGTGTGAATGCTTATCAGATGTATGAGATGGAGTTGAACGTGACGCTTGGTCCTTTGCATGCGAGGCCACTGTTTGTCTAATCTTTATGCCTCTTATGGATTTGACTACCGAGCTAACAACTGTGAAGCAGCTTATCAGGGAAGAATGAGGAGTGTGACAGGAATAGGTGAATGATTATGAAAAGCAGATCTTATGGCGCTTTTCCACTGCATGGTACGGCACGGTACGGCTCGGTACGGTTCACTTTTGGGGGGTTTTCCACTGGGTACAGTACCTGGTACCTGGTACTTTTTTTAGTACCACCTCCGATGCGGAATTAAAAAGTTTTTTAGGAGTCGCGGCAGTAGAGGCGGCATGCAACTATAACGACATGTGAATAATCCCGCCCACTCTAAAGCGGTACTAAACTGCAGTGGAAACCCAAACCGAGCCGAACCGAGCCGTGCCGTGCCGTACTGAACCGTGCCGAGCAAAGTCGTACCACGCAGTGGAAAAGCGCCATTAGACAAGTCCTCAGAACATGGAGCCAATGAGAGCTGAAGCTAGCTTCATATAAAGACAAAGAAACTAGAGAATCAAAGAGCATGCAAACTAGTGCCGCTGAAGTATTTCCTCTTGGATATGTGTGTAGAAATGTGCTGAGCGGCAAGTAAACTAACAGTATGAATGTGTACTTGTAGACAACAAAAGATGTGGTCACGATGTATCATTATACATATATATATCTATATATCTATCTATACATACATGCATATACTGATAAATTGTGACTCATCTGTGGCTGACCATATGCATATATATATACATATGCATAT